ATTGCAATCCGAGACGTTTATATGCTATAAGAATGCGCAAGAGGCCCGAAACTACGTGCAGTCGATGCCGGTTCTGGCTAGCTGGCTAGCTGCTTGGCTGACAGTGGCCATAGTTTTGGACAAGTTAAAAACAAATACGACGGCCAGAGTAGGAGTAGCTGGAGAGCGAGGATCCAGCTTGGCTTCAGCGTTTGCCGGGGCGGACGGAATCCCACAGAGCGTGGGGCATATCATGACATTTTATTGTGTTGTCAGACGGAAAAGTGCTTATTACGCATGCGCGACGGCGTCCGCAGCGACGTCAGCGGCGCAGCCTTTAATTGTGGGGTGCCGAGCGAAGAGGATGGGCCATACGCCGGAGCACGGCCAAGGCAAGGCAAGCCTAGGCTAGGCCTAGGCTCTATATGTTGTCGTTGTTGTTTACGCCAGCGATTGTTTTACAAATTAATATTATTTTATGATATCGCGTTTGTTTTGCTAATTGTTGCATGTGTGGCGCAGATAGCATTTCGCATTGCGAGCCGCCAGCTAGACCCAGACAGACAGACAGACAGCCAGGCAGCCAGGCAGCTAGCTGAATGTATATGGACATAGAAGCAACAGCCGTCCGGTAGCCGGTGCATTTTGACAGTTTTACGAGCTCGAGCTGCGTTGAAATGAATACCTGCCATCCTGCTCTCTCTCTCACTCACTCCATCTCCCTCTCTTTCACTCCTCTCTCTCTCTGCCTCTGCTCTCTGCATGTTGAGTGAATTGTGGCCATGTCCATGGCTTGGAATGTGATAGCCACACAAACATAGGAAGCGTCTAATGAATGCATTGGCTGCACCACAATAAATTCTGTGTTGCTGTGCATGGAAATCTAATTTTGGACCAATCCGCGGTAGCCGTTGGACACATAGAGACAGACAGCTGAAATTTGCATCTGGCATATCCGACTCCATTCGAGAGTTGACTGATAAGACTTGAGAGCATTCTTTTTATTTTTTGGTGGGGGCATTGGCAACACTTCCATTCCAGCTCATTGGCAACCTTTTGCGATAGGTTTTCGCACTGTGTTGTGCCTTAATTGTCAAAGGTTGCTTTTAGCTCTCTATGGGAACAAAGGCAACAACAACAACAGCAACAACAACAAGACAATATCAATGACTGTGGCAGACAGCTTGGCTGCTACGAGGAGCAGGAGTCGCACAGAGTCGGTCCCTGGCTGAACTGTCAACTGTCAGTCAGTCAGTCAGTCAGTTGGATTGGTCGACTCCTCGTCTGGCCGTGCCTCGACATGCAACTGGACATCAATATGGGACTATCTGGCACTCGCTGGCCTGCTCTCCGTTTCCTTCGCCGTCTTGCCTGGCCTGCCTTTCGACCATGTTACTTTGCCTGCTGATAACTGATATTTGACAACTTTTGATGTGCTGACATTGACAGCGGCAGGCGGCCCAACGTCTGACAGTGCCCAGATCCCTCGACTCTCTCAGTGTCTGTGTATGTGTGTGTGTGTGTGTGTGTCGGATATTTAAGAAATTGGACAGCTGCTTCACAAACGCCAGGCAAACAAAAAGAGAAGAGAAAACGAACACAGAAAAGAGTTATATGATGATTTTTTTTCTTTATGTATTTATAGCCTTGAAGCTCTCTGCTGTCACATGAGCATAAACTAGCATCTAGCATTTTAAGTAGACAGCTATAAATCTGTTTAGTATTTACAGGCAAGCCGGCCCGTTTAGCATATGATTACTCAGAGTTACTATCGAAGAATAGGCATGATTCCGGGGCTGGGGCTTCGGCATCGGCTTGGGCTCGGCTTGGGCTACCCGTTGATTCACGCCGATGAAATTGCCAAAGTTACCGTGAATCATAACAATAAACCCAGTTTGCTGTATGATCGTTTCCATAACAAGCTCTCTTCTTGTTCTTCTTTTCCCGTAATGATTATGAGCCGTAGAGTCGCTGCGGGAGAAGCCAATGCGAAAAAGCATCCGCGTAATATGAGTGGAAGAAAAAGCGTTTTATTGAAATGGCCAACGATCGAATTGTGTTCCAAATGAACTCGTTCTCATTCAAGCCAACAACAGCAACAACAACAACAACAACAACAATGACGGCTAACCGGGGGCAACATGCAATTTGCTCGAAATGGGGGGTTGGATCTTTGAGAGCACCGCGCCAACATTTAACGAGGTGGTCAAGATTGTGCCAAAAAACGATGGGTAATTACATGACAGAGCTGTGCGTGCTCACACACACACACACACACACACATACACACACGCACAGCTAGCTAGCCCATATATGATATGAGGCACTTGGCCTGCCGTTTAAGTTGATGAATATGAATTTTGTGGCCACATTTTATGGATGCCCCGTTAAAGCCAGAGTCAGAGCCAGAGCCAGAGAGAGGGGAGCAGAGCGGTAGACGTCAAATCAGCGGCAGCAGCAGTTGATTGCACTTGTCAGAAACAAAGAGTTTCGCTGTAATTTAATGTAACGATTTTACTAGCTCAGCTACTTGGAAACTTTTCTAATTATAATGAGCCGAGCCTCGCAACGAGCAACAACATCATCTTTACCACCATCATCATCATCATCATCATCATCATCATCATCATCGTCGTCATGTCAATTGGCGCACATAGCCGAATAGTGAAGAGAGCTTCAACCTAATTATTAATAAACGCCAACATTGGTTGTCATTGTCGGAGCTGGCTGCATCAGAGTCGCGGAGAGTGGGAGAGGGGGAGAGGTGGGGCAGCGGAGCATGCGGCTGGGGCAGCACGCCTTCCCACCTACTGTGAAGTGGCTGTCATCATTTTAATGCCAACTCGTTACTTTATTTATCATCAACATCATTTGGAGCTCAGCGCTGACAGGCAGACAGTAGCTGCAGCAGCTACAACTCCACTTAGAACCTAAAGGGAGCTTCCACTGCAAGCGTGGGGTGAGCCGGGTATGGGGGAGAGGCGGCGGAGGAGGCCTACGAACGGTGGCAGCCCAGCGCCCGTAACATTGACTACGGCGCTGATAAAAGCCTTTCCATGTCGCTTCAAATTTAAGTTTTCAATTAAAAAAGACATAAAATGCCAGTCTCTCTCTATGCGCGTGAGTGTGTGTGTGTGTGTGTGTCTGATCGTCTATGAATGACGTCGACGTCGACGTGGACGCGTCGCTGCCGCAGCGCACAAATATTGTAAAGTAGTTTGAGTGTGACACAGGCGTCATAACTGTTTTAGTGTCATGCAGCAAACGAGCTGGAACAAGTAGAGCTTCTCCAGCCCACTGAGCCCGACTAGCCGAGCCTTGATGCCTTGACCAGGCTGTCGATGCTATCAATATACCTTCTCTATGAGTGTAGAAGTATATATAAATTTGTTACAACTTGAGTTTAAAATAAATAATTATAAAATATTTTGGTCACTGCTTTATTAAATATTTAAATAATTTAGTAGATATTTGATACATTTTTTAAACAGAATTCGAATGCGCTGCCTTAAATTTGTAATCTTAATGAATGTAAAGTTTGCTGTGCTCGGACTTCCGTTATAGAAATTTCCAACAACTTGCAAGGACCCAGAGAACCCATAGAATCTTGAAAACATGCTCATTTGCATTTGCATACTCTGTCTTTCCCTCCCTCTCCATCTCTCTTCCGCCCTTCCCTCTCCAACTTAGCTCAGCTCAGCCCAGCCCGCTTTGTGGACAACAAATTTAACTTTTTATTATTGTTTCTTCCAGTTGGTACCGCTTACATTCCACGAGAGCTCTGCCTGGCGTCGCCATCAGCATTATCATTTAGAAAAAGTTGAGTTGAGCAAATGTGTAGCATTTATCAAGTTTTATGACTCCATTTGGACTGAGTGCTTGTATTTATTTATTTATTTATCTGCTTTTATTTGTATTTTCATTTTGGTTTCCCTTTACGTTTGTGGCTTTTCTTTGTGCCTTTTTGGTCTTCTTTTGGGCGCCCCCAATTCACTTGATATGCAAATAACGAAAATTTTGGTTTTCAACACATATTTTGTATGAATTCTATTGCCGCTGCTCTACACAACCACCAAATGCGAACTGGACACTGGAAATGTTTGCTCTAATAAAATATATCCAAGCCACGGCCCATTGTGCGGGTCTGGGAAAGTGTGGCTAACGGCCAATTGTATGGAATTCATTGTTAGACGACGTCCACACGCTGGAGCTGCTGCTGCTGCTGCTGCTGCTGGCTGGATTTTGAGCTAAAAAGATAAAGACAATTATTATCGCCATTATCGCCGGCATCTGTGGTCGGCATTGTCGGTTGCCACATCCTACAGCTGAAAATGATATGCTGGCTAGCTCTCTGGCTCGCTGGCTCTCTGGCTCGCTGGCCGCTGTCGTCGCATACAAATTGGCAATAACCATCAATTGGCCAAAGGTGGCTTGGCCAGTGTTTGCATTAGAATGAGCTATGCACTGCTGGAATGTCGATTACACTTGAACGCATCCATTGATTTGCTTTCCCTGGCTCTGTTCCTAACTCTTTGCATTGCAGATCTTGTTTCTGATCGAGCTAAGCATAATTGTATTTTCGGCATTCGATGCCCAGATTCAATGCCATTTCGACAAATGGCACTCGCCTGCCATCTGCAACAGCAGCAGCAGCATCCGATCCAGCTGGTGTCCATTGTTCGCCTCGATTCTCCGATTGTGCTGTGGCGGCTTCTGTTGGCTTCTATACGCTGCATGTGTAGCATTCCTGCCTCCTGCCTCCTGTCTCCTGCCTGGCAGCGCATAATTGTAGACTCTGGCATGATAATTCCCTACAAGACAAGCATCAGCATTATGTGAAGAATGTTACGCTAAATGCTAGATATGCCATGGGCCAACTGCAGTCAATGTTTGGCATATGAATCTACATATATGAAGCTGAAACAGATATTCATAATAAAAGTAGCAGCAATGTACAAAACCAATATACTCAGATTACTTATGTGAATGAGTCCCAATCTATCGAGGTCTTCCACAAAATCTAAAATAGAAACTCTTGTATATTTATTGTTCCGCAATTCTTCAAGCACCAACAACTTTTCAATAACATAATAACATAATATATATTCATGAATTCATTCATTTCTCCAGAAATCTCTCAGCATTATTAGAGGATCCTACAATGGTCGTCCATAGATATAACGAATCTGACCCTGGTCAGCTCTAGCTCTGCACTGTGGACACTCCGGCACTCGCCGCAGGCAATCCCTGATGCAGTTGTCCCCGAAGAGATGTCCACAGCCAAGCGAGACCAGGCGATGCTCGGTAGACGAATTCCATTGATCGAAGCAAATTGAACAGATGGTGTTGTGTTCAATGGTGCTCTTGTGGCTCTCGACTTGATGCTCCAGCTCCAAGCACCGTTTGTCGCTGGCCTCCAGCTGCTTTTTAAGACTTTCAGTCTCCTGCAAATGGCTCTGCTCCTGCTTATTCAATGCGTCGAGCAACTCAAGACGCATCCGATCCTTCTCCAGTAACTTCTGCTCAAACTCCTCGGCTTGCATATTTTGAATGGCTTTTATGGAAGCCACCTGGTTGTCCAGGTCCCGCGTAAAGTTCTGCAGTGATTCCTCAATAAATCCGGATTGGTCTACCAACTGCAAACCATCTATTTTGCTGGACAGCTTGTTCAGCTGATATTGCAATTGATTTGCCTTCATTAGTATTGCCTTGCAGCATTCCACTTCATCCGCTTTGGCATCTGATGCTTCACTCGATTTTGGGATAATCTCAATATCGGTATTCTTATTGGAATTATCCATGTTTTAAAATTCCGCTTTGTTAATGTGCAACTGCAAGGGAAATGCATATATTCAATTTGTGTAGTTCTTGGAAATTCCCTATATACATATGAGATTTTTAGAACTAGTGAAACTTAATAATGGTAAATTATAGATAAACCTAAAGCACTCTAAGGATTTTCAATATTTAAATTTAAACCAATTTTTAGAGTAGAACTTGCACAACCTTTTCAAAAACTTGCAGCAGATGCTCTCTTTGATGATCTCGTTGACGCTATAGCAATTAGAGATGTGACATTGTCTTAGCTTTCTGGGGCTTCTATCTAGCATTGTGTACTCACAGGTTGCATGCAATTGTGTGGCAGCGCTAGGCAATAATTTGAAATTTCGCAGCACAGTGGCAGCACCTTGACAACTTTTAAGCTTGCCAGAGTATTTAAAGTTCTTTTCACGTACAGAGCGGAGCTTCTGGAACTTGCTGTGGCTCGATAGACCGGCGACTGACGAATGTTCTGTTGAATCATGTATATATATGCTGCCTAGGGCCTTTATATATACACATACATAAACTTACTTATTTGAATTGTTGCAAAGCATCTGGAAATGTTGCTAGACTCCAGGGCAGCAAAAAGCTGACGATGCAGCGGCTGAGAAGTGATGCGTATTTGTTTATTCGCGAGAAATCTCAGCTACTGAAGTAAACAAACTATCGAGAGCAAATTAGAAAAAAAAAAATAAAACAAAGAATAATAATAAATAAAAAAAGAGACTTGTATTCAATGTACTTTATTTATCAAAACATAGTCGATTAGGCGTGCTCAGCGCATTTGCCCACACTATGTCTGAAAGTCGTCGCAGTTGCTCGATTCTCATTTAGTGCGGCGTTTGGCCAAGGGGTCGCCCTTCTTGTAGTCCTTATTGAGCTGCTTGATGGCCAGATCGATCTCGACGAAACGCTGCTCCAGCACCTTCATCTGGTCCTGCAGCAGCTTCTTCAGCTGCTTCATATGCTGGCTGTGCTCTTCAACTTGCATGTGCAGACACTCAACCACCTCCAGGCACGACATCTGGTGCGACGGCGGCTTCAGCGGGTGCTTCATCGGTGGCATTTCCATTACGGTCATGTCGTAAACCTGCTTATGCAGCTGGCTATGAAAGTCCGCCAGGGAAATCCTGGCAGACCGGAACACCTTCAGGGCGCGCTCATCGTGGCCGCCAGACTTCAACTTGCGCTGATCAACCGTCGCATAGAAGGCCTCCAAGTGCCTTTGTATGTCCTTGGACTTCTTCCACAAAGCGTGAATGGGAGTCACCAGGGCCTCGAGCTGAGACTGCTGCCCGGCATTTGCGCGGCCCTCCGGCTTCGGCTCCTCGTTTTGCTGCTGCGATTGCGAAGACATGTTGTTTCTAATGGCTAAGAGCTCCTCTCTGGTGTAAGTTGGCATTCTGCAAAATGAATTTCACAATTATTTAATTGTTAGAATTATAGTTTTTCTATGTTGTTTCTTTCCGCTTGCTACCTCAGCTTGCTCGTCGCAATTTCAGACTGGAATGACATTCGAACAAATGCTGACGTGTTCCTGGAAAAAACAGTGTGACCATACCAACTGCTCAATTGCTGTCCCTAATTGTTGGCAACTGTTTGGGTACACACTGGACGGAAGTCGACATTTGAAAGTAAGGAGAAGGAAAGTTCTTTCTTTTTCGACTCCAGCACGTGAAGGTTGTCAAGCAGCTCTAGCACGGAAGCAATTTCTCAATTGAGAAAAGAGGAAATAAATCAAATTTAAGTCCTTTTCAAGCATATCTAAGAGCGGAAATCAGTTAAGCAATGCCACCAAAACGTCAAAACAAGTCTTCTGATGGTCCTGCAGCCAAGGTAGCCCGTGAGATGGATACCGTTGACAAAGCTCGCCAAGAGCTGGACAATCTGCTTGTGGAACGTAATCAGCTCAAGTCGAAGCTAGCGACTGCCGTCAACGAAGTCGAGTTGCTAAAGACTACCGCCTCGAAACTGGAGGAGAGCTACAATAGCTGCATCCGTGGACTGTTGATCGGCATGGAGGCTATGTCTAAGTTGTTGACCTCGGGCAAACACCATCTGCCGCGCAGCCAGGTGAATCATATTAACAAGAAGCTGGACAATGTGCTAAAGCAGACAAAGGATCTGTCCCTCAAGCTGGCCGAGGCGCAGATCCACTGTCGCACCGGGACCAGTGCCGAAAGGGAGGAAATCGAAAGCTTGCTCCTAGCACAAAAGATGCTCGTTGAGGAATATGAGCAGAAGCTGCTCGAGAAGGAGCAGACTTACCGCGATCTGCAATCCGATATGGAGCACCAGGCGGAGACCTACTTGAAGGAAATCGAGAAGCTGAAGAAGCAAATCGAAGAATTCGAGGGCAATCGCGTCGATCCCAATTACACAACTTGCTCCATCTGCCTGGAGCCGTGGACCACCTCGGGCAGCCACCGTGTGGCCGCACTGATCTGTGGCCACGTCTTCGGGGACATATGCATCAGGGAGCATCTGAGTAATGCCTCGGAGTGCCCCATGTGCCGCTCGCTTGCCGACTCCATAGACTTGCGCTATCTGTTCCTGGAAAGCTCCTATACTGAAGACTAACTCTTATCCACATATGTATCCCAGCATTAATTCAAAGAATTTGTGTAATAAATCGGGAAGACATATCTAAATGTTTGACAGCGACTTTTAATGGGCTGACAAAATGCTAAATGGGCTTCATATTCTGCCTCTGCCCCTTCCTCTTCCCCTTACGCTTCCTCTTCCTCAGCTACAGCTTCTGCTTCACTGCTAATAGACAATTCATCAATTCAGCGCCCTTTAACAAACTGTCAACTGCAGCTTGCGTTTGTGGCTTGTGGCATGCCGCATGCCCAGGCCGCCCCAGCTGCCCCGCCGCTCCATTAGCCATCCGAATCGTTGGCCAGGCCCTCGATAATTGCGCTGTCACTTGGCTGAAGACATGGCAATTTGTGGGCATAAAAGCGCGCAAATTTGTTATGAGTTCTCGCTCGCCCCCTGCCGCCGTGCTCTGCTCCTAGCTGGGCTCCTGCTGCTCCTGCTGCTGATGGCTGTTGATGAAATGGAAATGCGAGAGACTCTAGAGACAAGTTCTGCACATTGAAATCCATTTAATCGAGCCATCACACAGTTCCACACAGTCGCATCTTACGGCCCGGCCCGCCGCACTCCGAGCCACGTGTCCACGTCGCAGTTTGTTGATTTATGAAATACTTGCCGGCTCGCAAATGAAAATCCATTGGCCATCGTCGTACGCCTTGAGTTTGTTTAACTGCGAATGCGAATGCGAATCCGAATCCGAGTGGTATTTGTATCTCTGGATGCCAAGCGCTTTGGTTTATTGCCAATGCTTGAGAGCTCGGCGCGCTGCTAAGCAGCCAAGCCAGACGAAACCAAACTAAACCAAACCAAACCAAGTCAAGCCACGCCAAACCAGGCGGAGAAGCAGCCAAGAGGCGTTGCACATAATTTGCTTTGATCTGTTTTCGCATTTGGAGAGCTGTCAACCGGGCAACGGGAGACATACACGGACGTAGACATGGACGTAGACAATAGAAGCCGAGTCTGCCAGACGGGCATTGCAGAGTCGAGCATGCTGTTTGGCGTAGGCTTTAATGCCAATTGGACAGTTTTTTGCAATCAGCCAGGCCGTCAAAATTAATTTGTTATAATAACAAATTGAAAGTGCCCAGAGCTTGTATTATCTCCTATGGGCGTAGTATATGGATAGCCCAATTGGTTTGCAGCATTATCAAGGTAGACGAGGCCTGAACCTGGATATGTGGAGCACTTGAAGCTCAGCTGAGTGCAACAACAAACTTATGTTAATTGCATTAAGACTCGCACATACATACATATTGTTAGACTATGCATATGTATGTATGTATGTGTGTATGTTTATATGGCATTGTGTGCGTATCTTCAATTTGTACTTGGGCTCGACCGACAAAATCTAAAACAAACACTTCACGAAATATGAAAGCGCGTCACGTTTTAAGATACGTTTTTAAAGTGGTTTCGGCCAAGCTGAATTTCGGCCTCGGGGCCCACTAAGAAGACTGTAACAGACCTTTGGAAATATGTATGTTAGGAAAATAATATATAACAGAAAAGAAAAAAACAAAAAAACAAATAATCTAGAAATCAAAAGCCATGTGTAACAAATGGAGGCCGAGTTCCAGCTGGGCCAAGCCTTCATAGGAATCATCGATTGTCATTATCAACGTGATAAGCCACTGAGATCGCCATGTGGCTATGCTCCGACTTGGTCATGTGTGTCCACCAACCGAGCCCGCGCCCCCCCTCCTTGCCCACTTGCCCGCTTTGTGAGATGCTGAGATCGCAGCTGTCAGCTGCGGCGGTCAGACTACGAAATACTTCGAATGCACTTGAGACATTTCTCTTGAACTTCAACGCCTGCCACGCCGCTGTCAAAATATTTCAATGAGTTCGCTTACGTTTTTTCTCCCTCTCCCTCTCTCTCTCTCTCTGTCTCCCTCGCTCTCCCTCACTCTTTATCACTGGAAGCGCAACTTGTTGTGCGGTCTTTTGATGAGATCTCAATATGACGGCTGTCTGTCCGCTGACATTGCGAGGCGTCGTGTATGCTTGTGTGTGTGTGTGTGTGTGTGTGTGTGTGTGTGTGTGTGTGTGTGTGCGTTGATTGTGTTTGTGGGTAGCAGTTTGTTAGACAAATTAAATCTGTTATTTTCCAATAGGTGCCACCAATACATGCATGCGGACAAACGAGAGGCGGCGATAAGAAATGGCTTCTAACTAAGTGAAACTTGTTCTGCGCTCAGCCGAGTCGAACCGCTCATATGATTATGGAGAGGCACACAGAGCTGCATTCCCATGTATGCGATGTTAACCACACGATGATTTGGGATCGGGATCGGGTGATTGGATGATCGCAGAGAGCAAACAGCAAACGACAAACGGCAAACGCTGCCAACAGCATTTTCTTGTATTTATAAGGTTTCCGTCAGTTCTGTTAAGGATTGAGTTATTTGCAGCAGCGTCCCAGGCATTGGGGATGTTGTCACTTTTTTTTCGCATGCTGCAAATGCGGTTACTCGGTGCATGGTAAGGCGATACTCGATATACCTATATATACATGTATATACATATAGAGAGGTTCTGTAGGCATGCGCCCCATATGAAATGCAAATATTTAATTATCTCATATTTATACTCTATTTTGCTTATACCAAAGCAACAAGAAGCTGAACTAAAAGTCACAAATCCAATTCGATTTGTCTTGGCCAACATTTATCGAAGCACTTGCCATGGCCAACACAACACAAGGCAATTTCAATCTGATAAATGGCAGCTGCAATTCGAATATTAGAAAATTTGCACAGTGCAAACAATAAAAAGGCAATTTGTGTGGCTGCTGAGTAAACATTTAATTGTTATTATATGGCAATAGGCAAACACATACACATACAGACACTAGCAAAGCAATTATAATAACAACAAACTAGTAAAACGGAAATTGTGGAAATTTGATCAAATTGCAATTTCAGTTAATTTGGCATTGGTCTTGCCTTGGCTTCTATACTAGTGCGAGCCCTGGACCAGCAGCAGCAGGAGCAGGAGCAGGAGCAGGAGCAGGAGCATTTATTGACACTCGTCTCTTATCATAACTAAAATCGTTTGCATGTATTACTCCAAACGGCAACAGCAACAACAACAAACAACGGCAACAACAAACAACAGAGGATGAGGTACGTGTCGCCTGGCCGCTCGTACGCCTGGCAAACATGAAAATTCAATAAGCATAAGAATTTCGAATTTACGATGATATTAACAATAATATTGCAGTTGTCGCAATGGGCGCTGAGGGCGCAACACGAGATGCCCAACTGGAGCTGCAACTGCCAACTGGACAGTTGTTCGGGACACCCCGTTGCTAGACACTGGGGCACAACTGAAGTCGACTGCATAGCATAGAAATAGTATACAACTTGAGATACTCTTTAAAAATCATCGTTAGCAAGCTCGCAGAATTAGTTTCTTTATGAAAGGGAAATTTGCAACACAATTTCCCATAAACAGCTGAGCAGAAATCGGAACAGAAACAGAATTGAAAACATAACCTGCGTAATTGTATTAGTAGTAGTGGGCAATTCAAAGGGAAATTTTTAAGAGACAAAGAAAGGATATTCCACACAGGCATATGACTAGTGAAAGCAAGAGGGAGATGAAGGGAACAATTGCCAATTTACATGTTGGAGAGAAGAGTCTAGAATGACAGACGAATTCGTAAGGAAATCGTTCACAAAGAGGCGAACAAATACGAGCTATAAATTGGAATCACAAGTGTGAGAGTGAGAGCTTGCTGATTGTGCAAAGAAAAGAGAAAAAGCTGCAATGAAGGGCATTTCTAAAAGGAAATTTATCACACATGCACACATACCTATGTAAGTAAGTACGTATAAAGAAACATAAACAAGAGAATGTCAAATGTAAGAAATGAAAGGTAGTGTTAGCAAGGTTATTGATAAGGAAATTTTTAAATATAACAGACTAAAATAATATTTTATTTAAATTTATTATATATACATTCTATATACATTCTACCTTTAATCTTTTTTCTAGGGTATTCCCACTGCGGCTTGGTCATCAGTTTGCTTTCATTCTCATCCTTTATTTTATAGCGTAATGCATTTATTTAATAAATTCATATACAACATATAGAGAAAAAAAGCAACTGTGGACAATGCCGGCAGGCACATGTATCTCGGACTTGGACTTGGGAAGTGGAAGTTGAAGTTGGTCTACGACACGCACCAGGAAATTGGCAGTTGAATGGACAGTCGCCCGGGCTGCACGGGCCGCCCTGGTCTGGGTGGATAGTAAACAATTTTATGAGCTCGCCTGCAATAATCTACGCAATTTTATTGACACTTTGCCTTTTTGTTGTAATTCATGCGTTTGCTTGGGTGTTTATCGCACCGCGGGCGATCTACCCGCGGGGCCGAGGAGCTGCCCTTCGCGCCAGAGAGTGGCTCCGACTTTCTCCACGGGTCCCACAATCTATCAGTGCTGATAAGCGGCTGGTTTGTCTCTTGTTGACATGGGAATGCTGCAGGCTATAGGCGATAGGCTATGGGCTTCGGGCTGTCCCCAATTCTCAACGTGGCGCAGGTGCCACCATAGTCACCATAGTCCAAGGGCCTATCTGATTGTCACCTAGCGTTTGACTAATGAACCATTCGAACCAACCGGCATTTGTATTGGAAACTCTCTTTAACGCTTCTATTTCGGGGCTACGAGTGTCAACTGTTATTTTCTTCGTGTGCAGTAGCTGTAGCTGTAGCTGCAGCCGGGCCGTTTTAGATAACCCTATCTAAATGTCAGTCTTGAGTAAAACAAGCTATCGGCTTATGGGATCTGTGCTACTTAATTGAGCCACTGCCAATGCGAGTCAAGTCGAATGCCGAATGCAGCCAGCGGCCAATTGAAAACACTTCTGCATAATTAAAACCGCTCCATTGTGAATGCAACGTGTTATTGGTTAGCTACCAAGCACCAACACCTCCACCTGGCCCCTCACCTGTCCCCTTCCACCAGCCCTCTCTGCCTGGGCCATCAGTGTTCGTTCCACTCGCTTATGTTGTCATTTTAAATTTTAATCGCTTGTCATAAACTGCAATCGCATTAATTTCCATGCCTGACATGCAATTATATGTAAATAAATATTTATTTTTAAATTTCCAATTTATTTATTTACAGCTTTTATAACTACTCTCAATACGCAAAAATATATATAAACACACACACATATTTATGTATGCACATGTATATTCTATAAATTAAAAACCATATTGCAGTTTATGACTTGCATTGATTTAGTGACGCATCCATAAGTCCAGCCCGCAGTTCCGGATCCCACAAGATAATCATGGAGCGTGTAAGTACCGTAAAAGCGAAATCAATAATTGTGCATATTTACAATTGAAAATTTAAATTTAAGCATCTACCGTGTGCAGCATTAAGAATTTATGTACTTTTATTGTTCATTGCCCAATCAATTTCCATTTATGGAATAACTTTTTACCAATTTAATTGGCTATCGTTTCCATCCCTTCTCAGCCAATTAACTTTGAATTCCATTTGGAGAAACAGAGAGAGAGAGAGATTATGATATTACTTATGGAAAGAATAATTTATGGTATGAGAAATCTTTATAGATATGCTTGATTAGCATTAATAGAGCTATGCATACATACTCTCTCTCTCTCTCTCTCTTTCTTGAGATCTATGTACGCCCTAAATCTGCAAAGATCTGCAGATTGCAATAAAGTTTTACTGTATTATGGAGCTACTTATACCACATCATATATCTCGCATTGTTAGGTGTATATATAGGGAATGTATGTATTTATTTTTAATATACAGGGATTATAAAGTATACTCATTGAAAGCAGTTAATATATATAAATAATACTAGGCTAATGCTCATTATAGCCCTTACATATCTAACATAACAGCAACCATATCAAATCCAAATCAAGTATATATCTTCGACTTCGTTCCCCTAAGACTGGAGTTCTCTCATAATTAAGCCTAACAGAAGTGTTTAAACTGTGTAAACTCTTTATGTTTTATTTATAGATTCCACATTCCCAAATTAAAGAGCATTATTATTAACCTTTAACATTTTCACGCTCGAAAGTTATGAGAAGCAAAATCAACAAATTATTCAGAAAGTCGGCTGGAAAAGGGAATGCGGATAGCTAAGTAAGCAACTCTATCTTTTGTATTTTTTTTATTGTTTTTGGTATTTCGATGTTATTTATGGATGTCTATTTTTCAGGGAACGTTGCTGTACAGTGAGGCGTGACTAATCAGGCAACAAAACTTTTGCCGGCTGCTAATTGCCGTGAAGGCGCCGCAACTGTCCATAGATATATATACTTTATATGCATATATGTATGTATTTATTTATATATGTATGTATATATGAATCTGCGCATATAGAATGTGTGAGTCATTAAGGCTTGCGGCAATGCAAATTGCTGCAACAAGTGCAGCAGGATTTTTAGCTCTCTTTCTCCGCAGCTTAATTATCATAGCGCACAGCTTCCAGCTCCGACTCCCGCTCCAGCTCCCGCTCCAACTCCAACTCCGACTCCAACTCTGTGTGTACAACCAATCAGCGTATGCAAGGCGCTAAATGAGCAGCGAGTGGAGTGGAGTTGCCTTGCCAAGTGTCACCAGCAGCTTGAGGGGGCAGCGAGCGGGCGCAAGGGGGCGGCTAAAGTGTTGCGCTAATTTTATATGCAAATTATGGCAAAAGCGCGGCTTGTATGCTAATTTGGACCCAACTCGGACTGCGAATCAGACGCAGGCTCAGGTTGAGTCTCAGTCTCAGAGTCAGTCTCAGTCGCAGTCGCAGTCTCCGCTGCTGTTGCTCTGCCTCTGCACTTAACACTCTTTTTTAATGATGTATAGTCTGCATGCATATGCCAAATATTTGGAGAATGCAGCAGAATTTACAGTTGTTGTTGTTGTTGCCGTTCCTGCTGCTGCTGCTCCTGCTGCAGTTCGTCATCGACTCTGTTTGGCTTTTATCTGGCGCAAAAGTGTGAAATTTTGACGCAACGTCAAAGCAATTTTTCGGCTCAGTTTGTCAGATATGGCAGCGGCTGGCCGCGCTCCACCTGGTTGCACCTTTCACCAGCCGGCCGGCCGGCGGAGCCCAAGCTGCGGCCTCTTAATGATTTCTGAATGCATCCTGCTGGGCCGGCACACACCAATGCCAAGCTTTTCCATTCCACAGTTGGGATTATACACACACACACACACACATGTATATCATATTTTTTGGGGGGCATTCTGACACATGGAAATCTGTAGCGTTGTCTTAATTAGAAGTGCCACGTGCAACAACTGCGACAGGCTCTCATTCACTTTTATTTTGATGACAACAATAATTTTATATATTTATTTTTTTCTCTCCTGGCTTTCACGACATTTTTGGGGCATGTTGATATTTTGGTAAATAAATATTTTTAATTGGTATAGCCATGCTTAAAATATTTCTTATAATTAACAAGCTGTCCGAATGAAACTCTCGGCTAAGTGGGTCAATTCAAAAGCCTCGCCATGGCTACAAAATAAATAAATGAATACAATTTTTTGCATTTAAAAAGTAATACTTTTTTAAATATTATTTTCATTAAACTGAAATATGTTTCGTTTTTCATGTGTAAAGTTTGGCATCAGCAAAAAGCTAAAATACAAAAAAGCAGAATGTTTTGATTGAATGTGAATGACTAGCAGATACCCTAACTACTTAAACTTATATTAAAATTTATTTCATAAATAAAAGTCGCAAAAGATTTCGCTTAGAAAGACGATCGAAAAACCAATATACCCCATTTTTAACCCAATTTCATATAAATAATAGTAGCAAAAATGTCTAAAAATCTTGTAGTTTATGTTTGGGGTTTATAGTAAATGCCAAACGCAAATCAAGTGTTACTAAATTGTGAATAATGACTCCATTCAGCCAAAAAAAAAAAGTGAACTCAGTTACACACTCACACAACCAAACACACACACACATATGTAGCTGACCAATTTCGTGTTACAAAAGGCCAATACAAACTCTAACGAATCTAATCAAAAGATAAACTCACGCGCAACGACGAGGAAACCCTCCTAACGAGTATTTTAAAGTTTCAATCAAAAATTCGTTACACTTTGCATGCGCTGCGGGGTGGCGGGGCAACAGGGCCGGCGGGGCAGCGGGGTACAGCAGGGGAAGTGAGCTGTTGTGTAGATGGCAGCTCGTGCAGCTAATAAGCCGTGGCTTACATAAATGCGGCAACAATCATCATTTTGGCCATCGGCCGCAAACACGAAATTATGATTTTTATTGAGGAATTCGCACAGCGGGCGGTGTAATTAATCAGCGGCACGGAACGTGGCGGCATGAAACGGGGAACGAGCGCACAGACGAGCCAACGGATGGCTGGACGGGTAGCTTCGAGTGCCGGGCAGGCCAACTGCAACTGAAGGTGACTGCAGCTGCGACCTCTGCTCGATCGAGTGTTTGGGTTGGGGTCAATGCGTTGCGTATGAGTAATTTTTAGCGGCAATCCCGCCACGCTCTCCGCTGTGAAAGTGAGTTTAACGGTAGTTTGCCTAACAATTTGGAACGATCAACGCAGTTTGATACACATAGATTGTTGCTATTGTTGTTTCTCCTCTTGTTGTTGTTTAGGTGTTGGCCCACACACACAGCGACACGCTCTCGCACTTACACACACACACACGCAGATCGACAGCGATATTTTCAATCAAGGCGTCCAGTGCCGCTTGTTAGCCTGGCCAAAAGCCACTTAAGCCGTACCTAAATTACGCCAAAATCGATTGCAATTGCGTTGATTATCGCCGTTGCAGCAGCCATTGCCAAATTTATCGGCCGCAAATGCATTTCACGCGATATTTATGTAGTTTGGTCCAATATATATACATACATACATATGTATATATTGGTAGCAACAGTTCGATGCTTTGGCCACCGGTTTTAAGAGGCCGCCGCCGCTTTTACGGCCACTGCGCTTATCGCGGCAATTACAACGAGAGATTTATATGAAACCGCGACGTTGCAGTTGCTGCAGCCGCTCCACCCTCGGCCGCAATCCCAATTGGAGTTTGGGGCCAGCACCCGCACGAGGCGCACAGTTCAAACGCCGCCAGACGGCAGCCAAAAACGCTCCAGCTAATCGACAACTGTTTTTGCTGTTGTTGTTGTTGTTGTTTTCGGGCCACAAATGTCGAATTAAATGGATTTTTATTGAAATCAAGTTGCGGCCCAATTGGCAACCAGCTGAAAATGTGGACAAGCCGATTGCAGGCGATAGAATCTAATTGGCTGAGATTGGCTGAGAAACGAACTAAAATAATTTCCAAGTGTAAGAGGCACATTTGCAGAAATTAAAATGTTTCCTGTTTAGCTTTTTGCCATTCACTAAGCTCAGCAATTGCCCAAATAATGTCAGCTGTTCTCCATACACTTGCTGTCTATAAAAATTTCCCAAATAGTAGATTCTTCTTCTTCAACCTACCACGAGCCATTCGCAACGAAACTTACATTTCTGTTAAAATTTCCCCTTCGCTTTTGCCACAAATACTTCCATTTCAAAAATGTCCCATTCTTCTTCTTCTTCTGCTACCTCTAGCTATTCACATAGAATCAGTCGCCTGTCGATTATTCTTGTTGAGCATTCCACAAGCTGCTCAGATTACAAACGAAAATAGCCATCGGACCAATTTGATGCACTTTTGTCATCCAATATTATTCACGGCCTGGTGCGTTACTAATTGGCAGCCGATCTTTATCTAATCGCGCCATGAATTACAATTCCAACTAATTACAGTACCTTTGTAAGCTGGCCCACTGGATGTGGGCTGACCAAGCCCAAGGAGCAGGCCAGGCAGCGTACTCAATGATTTATTCGTTTGTAATTTCCATGAGAGCCCACGATCTGAGCGCCAATGAGCCAAGCTGATCCGCCAGATCGCATATGTGTCTGTGTGTGTTTGTGCTCCAGTAAAACATGCGACAGCGAACGCAAACATGGACACTGATCGCACAGCAGCGGCCAAAGCAAGTAAAAGGCCGGCAGCGATTTCCACAGCCAACTGTCTAAACTGGGCCTAAAAATGATGGCCTAGACTCGAGCACACACCCATGCAGGTGCCAATGTGTGCGTGCCTGTGTGTGTGTGTGTGTGACATCGGAGCAGCGTCGACTAATGAAGATGCGCGATGCATCATGCGCGCCTGCCTAACAACCACGGCAGCAACCCACCTTCAAGGTGCCTCGCTGCTGCGGCCAAAAGCCCAGAAGCAATTTTCGTAATCAGAGAAATTCATAAAAATTAAAAGAGTCATTTGCATGTTGTTGCAGGGAGACGATGGACAACAACAGCAACAAACTACAACAACAACAACGATGGCAACTGTCGGCGGGCTCTGTCGCTCTGGTCACCAAGTATGTGGCAAGTTGTGGCAAGTAATGCAAGAAGGATTTGCTCTGGTCTACGGACTGGTTTTTGGGCGGCCGGGAGGCAGCTCTCGGCATTTGGGTGTAAAATAAAGGAATGACTAATTTTTCAACGTTTCGACGAATGATAAATGTGGCATGTGGCGAGCCCGAGAGCAATCATGTTGCACTGTCACTTGGGCACAGTCGCCGTTGCCGTTGCCGTCGCCGTCGCAGTCGCAGTCAGAGTCGCCCGTCGCCTAAGCTCTCTGCTGCTGCCGCATGTTGCATGCTGGAATTGTTGCAACGTCATAATTATCCATCCACGTCCTCGTCCGTGGCCCTGAGAATGAGTAACGACTCTGCCGGTAAATGGACAACGCCAGCCGTAGCCCCAGTCAGACTCAGCCCCAGTCATCGTCAGCTTCAGCCCCAGCCCCAGCTTTAGCCTCAACTTCAACTCAACTCCTGTTGCCGGCCATTCATCCTACATACGCAGTTCATTTCATACAATAACTGAAGTTCTTTTTGCGTCCAGCTCCCGTCGCATAGCGAGCGCCATTTGGAATTTAGTCAAACTCATTGCAGACACTGCAGAAATTTGCATTTTACAAAGTGACGAACGTCCATTCCCCGCACATCTTAAGCCATTAAGCAGGTTCCTGACAGAAGCCACCATGAACGAGATTTCAAGCCACCTAAAATGCCAAAAATAATGCTGGAATGTTTCACATATGTGTTCCATGCACTGACTGCCAGAGGTTACACAGAAAGCACTGGCAGAGACAACTGAATGCTGAATGCAAATAGAGCTTGGAAAGCTCACTAATACTAGCGCAAATGCTGGCTTACGAATACATTCACTCGTGGCAAAAGGAATTCATTTCTATTCAAGGTGGTCCAGCAAAGACATTTCTCATTTCGGCTGCCCTCAACCCGGCTCGAGTGCAAAGTAAGAGATGATGCCCTAAAGGAATCATTTCATAGTCATCATCGGAAGTACTAGTGCAGGACCACGACCGGACTGGACTGGCCTGACCATGGCCTGCCTTCGTCAGATGTTGATGATGTTTGCTTGACTGTTGTACTAGAGCTGTTGTTAAACTAGTTTGGCTGTTTTTTTTTTCTCTCTTCATGCTGGACCGAGCATTTAATAAAGTCATTAAAAGCGGCGCGTGTGGCGCGATCTCAAATTACTTCGCATAACCGAAAATTACATACAAATGAAGGGAGCTCTGGCTCTAGTTGGTTGCTTGCATGCGACTGCGACTGCGACTGCGACTGCAACGGCGACTAGGACGCGCCCAGTAGAGCTTAAAATAAACGCGGGAACTGCTCTGCAATGAAAACAAGCGTTTACCTTGCATCAGGGGCAGCTAATGGAGCTGCAGCTTGGCTTTGCGCGACCTGCTGCTGCTGCTGCTGCTGAGCGACTGTCAAACCGGTAGAGAACCAACAACCAGACAACCAACAACAACAATTACATACAACTACCTTCAGAGCTGACTGCATCCGCGAACTAATGGACTGTGCAAAAATGAGTGACGCAGCATCAGTTGTGGCGGAGCCATCGGTGAGTCCTGCGGCGAGAGCAGCAGCTGGACAAACCAATGCGACGACAAGGGCAACAACAACGTATGCCAAGTCTTTATATGCAATGGCCATATTTAGATAAGGTAACGACAAAATTTTTACAATTTTTACAATGCTGAACCGACTGACAAATGCACACATGCATCACACAGCAGAGGGACGTGGAGGAGGATGAGGGAGGCCATAGAGAGGAGTTGGTTAGGTCTCGAAGCTGTTGCCTTAATAAAAATGATGTAAAACGCAATGGGAAATGAAATGAAGTGAGGAGCGAGCACTCAGACAGCACACGATGAGAGTTAAATTCGTGTTGAAATAAATTAATTGCGCTAACTTGCAACTCATGCGGCACACAGGACGAGCTGGAGCTGCAGCTGAGCTCAGCCCAGCCCGGCGTCCTGCAACTGCATTTCCCTTGCCCTTGCCTCGCCTTCCCTCTTCCCTCTTCCCGCTTCCCACTTCCCACTTCCCTCTTGGATGATAGGCCACGGCCTAGCGACACATGTAGCGACCATGTTGCATTCCCGGCTGCTGCAACAGCCGTTGAAATTGTCGTCGTTTGGAGCTTCACTCGCCTGCAGCATCGTGAGTGCCATCGATCAAAGTCTGCGTGCAGTTTGAGTAGTCGCAGGAGGAGTCTCAGACGCAAACACAGCAAGAGAGGCGCATGAAGACGGCGGCGTAGGGCGGGCAGTAACTGGCTATGGGAGACTGAATCTGAATGGTGAGCGCGCGGTTTTTTGTCTCGCCTCGAGTCAAATGTCCACAAATTAATTTTCTTTATTAAATTTCAGCATGAAAAATGACGCGAAAAACGCTTCCGCATGCGCAAAACTAAAATTCAACTCAGGTGTCGGCTACCTGGCAACCTGACTGAGACCAGCTCCTGCCACAACTCCTGGCCAACTGCTTCGCACAGCTGAGTAAACTTTAATTTGGCTAAGACAATGTGCCGTTTTGAAAGATTCTAACCGGTAGCCAAAAGTATTTAATGGATGCCCCAAGTCAAGTGCTATATAAATGTTTGCCCCATGTGCAATGATTAATGCGCAGCATGGATTATGGAAATTACTCCCAACTGAACTATGGAAGACCTATAATGGCGTTCTATTCGAGTCTCTGCACAACGAATCTGGGTAAGTCTTAGCTAATATTACTTAATATTACCCAATGCAATGTAATGTGCCATGTCCGTGAGAGCTAATCAAACCCGAGACCTAATTAAGGGCCTCAAATGGTCTAGTAAATGCCTCAATTTCATAAAGAATACGATCTCCAGCCACTAATGCGCTCAGAGAACAAACGAATCGAAACCGAATGAACTTTAATGAGCCCCAAACGCCGAGCAGTGATAGTTGAGAGGGAGAGAACAAGAAGGAGAAGGAGAGCTGGAAGGGCTGAGGGCTGAGGGCAGAAATATTCCAAGTCATTTCCACACACAACTTCAATTAGGCGGAGTTCAATTCAATTTGGTGCATGTAGTAGGAGCAGGCAAGCCAAAGGAAATAATAAGGCGTAACTAAATAGGCGCTTTAGTCTATAATCATGACACAATTTCCGCCAGCCAGCCAACCAGCCAGCCAGAGAATCGCTTCGCTGTTGAGTGTCTGTCTTGGTTCGGTTTGGTTCAGGAAGTTCACATGACTTTTGCCTTCTGGGCGATGAGTTGGCAAAAATAAGAATGCACAGGGTATATCGGGCATATAATTCAATTGACGGTGCCCGCGTCACAGTTGAGAGTTCAACAGCTCCGCTATTCGGCTCCTCCATAAATGCCAACGATGATGCGTAATAAATTGTATATTAACTGGAATTTCATATGCAATGGGCATTGTTCGCCAAATTGGAAGCATTTTCCCTGGGTTTTTAGTTGTTATAATAAATATGTTAATTCGTTGGCCTTTTTAGTGGCAACTGGGGCAAGTGTCACTCATTCGCACACTCAGTTTCTGTATGACAGGTGCACAAAGAGCTTGGCTCACCCCAACCCAGCCCAGCCCAGGCTACACTGAAAGAAAGCGTGTGCAGTTGATGTGGCACTCTGGGCCTATAATTAAGATAGCTAAGTGGTGTAAATGCACATTGCTGGGGCGTGTGTATATACACATACAGACACAGACACTCATACTCATACTCATACTCATACTCATACTCATAGTCATAGCCATAGTCAGAGTCGGGAGTCATACAGACATCTGTGTGTCTGTAGGGTGTATGCGACGACTATCTGGAGGAAGTGTCGGGTTCCTGTCTATGCCGTGGAATGCGCGAGGCATAATTTGTGAACAATTACGCTTTGTAATAGCATTTAATGACTTCATTTTCCGAAATGTGCAAAGCACCGACAGCAACTAGCGCCGCCGCTTTCCATACCATTAACATTACCAATGCGATCTTATCACACGAGCTCTGCATACGGCAGATAGCTGGCCATAACCGCATGGCCAGGACTGTAAGCGAACTAGATGGATGAGTTTTAAAAAGCACAAAATGTGGGGGACTTTAACAGGTTATTTTTTACAGACATACATATATGTACTATATGCATGATATAGGGTAAAACTTAAGAATATTAATATACATATATATAATATACATACATATATAGTGCAAAAGCTGATGCTAATTATAATATTCTTACTGCTGACAATATGGATGCTGATGATCATTCCAATAAGAATGATCATACTAATGCCAATGCTTATACTGCTAATACTAATGGTAAGGCTAAAAAAATATATTTTATTTAAATATAAATATTAATAGGCTAATTAATATCAATAATATATAATTTAATCTCATATGAATTTAAAATAATATTAATACATATACTAGTGCTATTGCTTTCAATACCTCGACTAATGCGCTAGTCAATAATTCTTATTATGCTAATACTAATGCTATACTCTATGCTAATAAATGTCAATGTAATGCAGATGCTAATGATATATAGTCTTTCTCATTTTCTCACATCCCCGTTAATCATCTCATCTATTAGTGACTACACATAGTATATCATATATCTATTTATACGAATAGGAGATCTTCAAATTACCCAGACTTTTATCTCACAATTTCCTCTATTTATGTGTATTTGCTCTTTAAGCGCAACATAAATCTCTTAACACATATTTCTAGCAATTTCATCTGAAACTTATCGCCATTCCAACATAAATCACAAACGTTTCCAGTTTCCATATATCGTCTCTCTTATCTGTTAAGTTTGACCAACTCTCTCAGCGTCTCTCAACTCGAGCTGTTCAAGTGATTCCATTCGTGTCCCGGAATAAAACCATGTGATTTGCTCATTTTAGGGTGGAATTAATGTTCTATTTCCATATGGGCAGGCATGGGTAGTAGAATCTCTGCGAGATGCGTACGTCCTTGGCTAAGTGCAAAATAACTCGCAGCGAGAGCAACAACAATTTGTATGGCAAATTGCAAAAAGCTTTTAACATTATCAGAATGGTAATCTGATCCGATTATCATTGACTGGTCACATGAGGAACAGCGTAGAGCGAGCGGCCTGGGTATTGACCAGCTAGACGAGCGACGAGCGAGGAGCCAGCCAGCCAGTTTTAAGCCCTAATCCATGGGCTGGGATGTCATTAAAGCTATTTAAGAGCCAGACGACTGAGACAATTGGCCAAGCGCTTGTTGACGTTGCATTTGACTCCGATCCCAATGCATAATCGTAAACATCACTTTGCATAATAAGAATGCTCCATCAATTCGCGTTCGCTTCAGCCTCAGCCTCAGCTTCGGCTTCATCTTCAGCTTTGGCTTTGGCTGGCCTCCACTCTGGCCGGCCGGCTCTATCTAAAGTGATATTAATTAAAAGATCATTTATATCAGTGCTCATAAAATAGCAAAATGTTAACCGCCACACGAAAAACTGCTGCTGACATACGATGGCCTCATCAGTGCCACTCGGCATCAACATGAGAGGATGTGGATGTGGATGGTGGATGGTGGATGTGCTTGAGGATGGGACAACTACCTTGTGCTTGGGGCACTGAAAAGAAGTTGTCGCTCAGCGCGTTGATATTTATTGATACTGACAATGAACTCTGCCTTGTGCTGTGGCAACTCCTCCTCCTGCATATCCTCCTCCTCCTCCATCTGCTCCTCCTCCTCCTGCTGCTGCTGTTCGTCGGCTGAAGATGACAAGTTATGCAAATCGTGGAGACACCAAGATCAAAATAAACTGTACGCATGCAGCAGCCGAGCCGAGTGGGCAGAGGACATGAGGACAAGGTCATGGGCCCTGTCCGAAACGAGTGCAAAAGTGAAAGATTGATGGCGAAATTACTTGAAATGTTTGTACGAGGCAAACTTATAGATGTGGCTGGCTGTACGGCAGCCGCATCTGCCGGGACGGTGTGCTCAGCTCTGTCCAGCTGCACAGCTCATCCATGACGCTGCAAAGCGCAAACGTAAACAAGGCAGCGACTTAGACAAATGTCGCGACGTCTCTGGCCAACTCGGTTGATCAATCTGCAACGCCTACCCGAAATGCTAAAGCGAAGACGCCAAACCTGTCTGTGGCTCAGTTTAAAGTCATGGACCACTTGGGCTCTTGCCTACTTTGTAGCTCTGAAGCACCACTGTCCAGGGCCTTGGCTTTGGCTTTGGCTATGGCTATGGCTATGGCTATGGCCATGTGCCCATCAACTTGTCGCAGTGCCGGCCTCGACGACTGGGTTGGGCCTGCCTTCAATCAGTCGAACGCAATTCGAGTTGACAACATGTCGCAAATGCGTGCGGCGGGGCGAGCCAAGAGATGCAGGGGGCAGTGCCTGCTCTTCTTGCTCCTCTTGTGCTGGCTATGTTACAACATGGTACACTCTTATGATTATATAGATTATATTGCCCTGCCTTGTCTTACCTCGACTCGACTCGCATGCGTCGTCGTCCTTCACCGCGCTCACTCAGCCGCATGTAATCCGCGTGGCTGCATGCAACGTCGGGCAACTTGTTGTTGCAACTGCGGCACGGCGGACGGGCGTGATTGAAAGATTGAGTGCCAGGCACAATTAAAGTTCTGTATGATGTATGTACACATGGCAATTGTCGCAATCCCAATTTGGCTTGGGGTTTGTCAAAGCAAATGCCTTGGAACAGGTGCCGATCCGAGTGCTTGAACAGCATTTAGGATCGGCTAATGGCCAAGGTGCGATATGGGCTGACACATTGAGTTAACTATGAAATTGATTGGTTGCCCAGGTCGATTATGTTCAATGCGAATGAGAATTGCAGAGAAGGGCACTCTTTAGGGTTACTCACTCGGAATATTCGGCTAGCATTTATATATGGATATATGATTATGAGAATCGCATAGTGGGCATCAGCTGTTGACTTAAGAGAATGTGGAAGCTAACATGCATGTACATGTACGTAACTGAATGTACATATTCATAATGCACATGCATAAATGCACAAATACATGCAGTGCATGCATATATATACATACAAATGCAGCGGCATATACACATGCATGCCAGCATGCATACATATATGCACACATGCGCACATGCTTACGCATGCCACTAGTTTCCCCTGTGTATCGATCAGTCAGACCGTCACTGAAGTTGCTTGGAAAGTCTTTTTCTTTTATTTGTAATATCTATATAAATATAAATATTTTCTATATAGATGCTTAACTTGAAGATAAAGTTAAGTATTTCTCCAGCGGCGTTTACATTTCCTCACATGCGAGCTGATGTTTGGCAGAAACAAATCATAAAATACATTCAGTGTCTGGGCCGCTATCAAACGCTTTTCAATGGCCTTCAGCGCGCACCTGTCCACACGGTAATCGCCGCGGATGCGATGCAGGGGCAGGTGCAAGGCTTAAAGGAGGGAAGGCGGGGCACGATGCTGCAACAAGTTGTACATGGCGGAAATGCGTTAAGATACGACTCAATGTGACTGTGTGTGTATGCGTGTGTGAGTGTGTGTGAGTGTGTGTGTGTGTGTGCATAACAGATACATTAGGTGGCATAAAAGACCGGCTTATTGACATGATAATAAAATGCTCAACAATCAAAATAATGCAAGACTTGCTGGCAAACGTATAGAAAAGCAGGGAAAATGCATAATAGAAAAAGGTGAGCTGCGAAAATTTGCAGTAATT